AAATGCGATAGTTATAAACAAATTAAAAAATGGGCACTCTTCTTGTTTTTTTTGCAATAACTTTTTTGTTTATTAACCGATTTTAATTTAACAAGTCTCATTTTGTAGATAATTTTACTCCCTATAAGCTGTCTGGGAGTAACTTTTCGCTAAAATTGATGGTTTTCCCTGCAAAGTGAAAAAACTGTTTTCCTCACTTATTTGTTTAAATAGAAAAGTTAGCTAATAAAAGTTTTTAACTCACGAGATGAGAGATGTCTTGTATTATGTTTCTTTAGACAATTTTACAACAATCTCGCGGAGAGGACTTTTTTCGAGTAAAAATTTTATTTGCTTGGCCTATACGTAAATAAACTCCTACGACGTTTAGAAGGCCTGCTTCAGTGAAAAATGAGAAATTTAAGGGTATAACGTCGCCAATTTGACAAACTCAACTGCGAATGCGATAAACAATTCATAATTACAAAAAATCACGTTTTCTCAGTGCGCAAAAATAGTTTTTTTTGTCCCTGCCCATTAACGATTTTAATTTGAGTCTTGAGTCGCATTCTAGCCTTTCATTGAAGCCGAGTACCATCTGATAACGAGAGAACGTCACAATTAACATTTAAAAAGCTTCCCTGAGGCTTGTTAACCTCACCAGACGGAGTGATAGCCATCTAGAGGTGATACCGGCGAAAGGTTAACGATTTATGAAAAAAAAAACAAATTAAAATAACGAAGAAGCTTCGGGTACGTTGGCCTTTGGCGACACTGCTTGGAAGTGAAACAACGGTTGATATCTAGTCGGCTTTGGACGTTATCGATCACAGTAGGCGAGCCGAAATGGTCGATAAGCTCGTCGCAGTGGGCCAGGGTCTCAAAAACGCTGATTATTGATTGTCTGGACGAGAGATACGTTTTGAAATCGGTAATAGACTTATTCAAGAACTGTCACTGTGTCAAAAATCGAAAAATATTGATTCGAAAACTGTGATCAAAAATCGATATTTTCGTTAAATTTTCAGTTGACAGAGTGAATCTTTTTTGTCATATAGCTGCAAAATACTTTTATGTTTCTAGAACGCCAAAGTCTTTTTCGTTCTAGAACATAAAACAAACGTTAAAATAATTTATCATTTTCCGAAATTTATTTATGATTATAATTAAACATTGTACATTTTAAGGAATATAACATTTCAATGTATCCGAGTATACTATGTATCTGTATGTGTATTTGCACAGGCATGTATGAGTGTTGTGTGTGTATATTTATAAGTTATATCGTTCTTTTACGTTGTTTTAACAACTCTTTATAATTATATTGCTTTTAATATGTAGACTTGTTATTATGTATGAGTTAATTGACTTTCTGAGGGGTAGGCTAATCATCAGTTACCTGTGTCTAGTGTCTAGTCCTTTTGTGTTTGTATATTGCCATTGTAACTATGCACAATAAATATTTTTGACTCGACTTGACAATAAAAAATAATAACTATCACAAACAGGACGATTACAATTTGTTTTGCACTACATGTAAATTGAAAGTGCCAATATTGCAGTGAGTTTTTATGCCAAATCCAGTGCTGTTAGTTATTGTAGCTTTAGTCCTGGGTGTTCAGTGAGGCTGCTGTTGTAATTGTTTACGTTGTATTATTAGCAAATTTAGTCCAGTCATTGAAGGTAAAATTATAAAATAATTATAATAATTATAATAATTATAATAATACCTCTACTCCTCATTCTAACTACGAGAGTTAGCCCATAAGTCGGAGACTTGTGCGGGAGAGGAGGCGGCATATTATTATTAGGCAGGCAAGCATTTGCGCCCAGGAACGACTTATGTTGGTACGCCCTAACCACCATTCAGTGCAGGAATGAGGGAAACCTGGAACACCT